CTTTTTCTTTTCCACATTATTTCATTCACGTTACCGTTGTGATTTATAAAANAAATTGGGAGTGGAAAAAAATAAATTCAAAATCTTGTTATTTCTATTCCCTTGTTGTTTACTATTTGCTTCGCCTATTTATTGTGTGTCAGAATTGGATGTCAAAATTTCCCCACAGGTATTTAATTCCTGTTTCTTTTTCTTTTCCCATTTGGAATTTCTTTTATTTTAATATTTGGAAGTCTAATTAATTTGGTTGGCCATTGGCCAGCCAAGTTGTTACTAGAATTTGATTTGGTCTTTGTTTATGTCACACGCCATCCAAATTTGAATCCATTTGGACTTCAAAACTTGGAAATGTAAATTAAATTCCTTGAAAAAATATATCGTTATCTTAGTTTTTATATTAGAAAAAAAAAAGTTTTTAGAGAAGAATCAGAGTCTATCTATTTTTTTGTTGAAATAACGATTTAGTCAATAAATTTGAGTATGTGATGACGTGGTTATTATATTTTTTAAATTTATAACAATTTTGTCTCTAAATTTTCCTATATGACTACATGACAATTTGATTTACGCATATATATTTAAAAACAAATCATTAAATCTAATAATCATCTTTTCAATAAAGATTAAATAGTTATAAATTTTAAATTATAATGACTCAATTGTTATATAGGAAAGTCAGAGACTAAACTGTTACGAATTTGAAAATCATTAGAAACTAAATTTCAAGAATCAAAAGTGTTTTTAATAGTGATATTAAAATCAGTAATTTTAGATAAAAAGATTTAAGTATAATCGATTTTTCAAAATCACCATACATCCTACTTTGAAATCAATTTAAAGTGATTTTGAGGTTTCTCAGAATCAATTTTCTCCATAACTATCGTGGTACCGAAAATTTTTCTGGGGAGAAATGGCAAAGGCACATGATTTATATTTGTGGCTGGAAATTAGAGTTAAGAGGGGCTTTTTTGTCTTCCTGGCAATGACATGGATGGCTTGCTCATCTCATCATTCTCCATCTCCTGTCACCATCTCTCTTTAACGTCCGTTACGACCGTCCCAAACGCCGTTATCTGCTTAGCTGGACGCCACTCTCATCCTTCCGCCTCCCCCGAATGGGCCAGCTGGCACGCCACTTTCTCCAGCACATGGCCAGCTACTTCTGCTGTCTCTGCCTCTAAACGCTTCTCTCCCCAAAATGCCCCTCCTCTGTACTCCAATCTACGGGAGTGCCATCGTGGAAATCAGCCTCCTCCGGAAACCGCCACGTGTCGGAGGGTCACGGTGTAATTAAATGGATGTTGGAGGGGCATTTTGGGGTGGATCCGACGAATGGCATTTTGGTAAATTTGTGGAAATCATTAAATCCTTTGTGTCAGCTTCTGGTTCTGGCTTGCGTAAGAAAGCGAAAATCTGGAAAGTACAGGAATCTAGGATAAATAGGCAGCAACGAGGGGGAAATTTTAATTTAATTAAAAAAAAAATCTGGATAAACCATAGTCCCAATTATATGAGATAATCACAATATTTTAAATTGTTGAATTTTTTAAAGGTAGTATTCAAATCATAGTTTTTTTTAAGTATCATAAATATATGGATACGAAGATCTGAACCTCCAACTTCAAATAAATTAGTAGATATTATCAACCGTTTAATTATGTTTATATTTACATATTCAAATCGTTAAAGTCAAATATTATGATCGTCTTCGTGTCAAAATTGCAATGTCTAATGATCTAAGAATGAATTATAGTATATTAAATTTAAATCTAACTAAATTTAATTTTATATATTCATAGTTGTACCTTACTTACTAGAATGAATTATAGTATATTAAATTTAAATCCAACTAAATTTAATTTTATATATTCATAGTTGTACCATACTTACTAATGCATGACATAATTTAAAAACATTTAAATAATTTATGTGTGTGTAAAAATTTGTAATATTTAATATATAAATAAGTGGTCGTTTTGTGTGGCAAAAGTTTAAACTATTTTTAGGAATTGTGATTTGTTGATTATATTCAAGTTAAAGACAGTCTCGTTCACAAGTTCATAGTTTGAGAAATAAAAACAACTTTAATTATTTTAAAAAAATACGTGTGAAAATAAATTAGGTGAAATAACTTAAAAAGAAATACGTGGATGGAGGGTGTCTTTATTAAATATTTTGTTATAATAAATAACAACTTATTTTTTTTAAAAGATATTCAAAATTAAACCACGCCTTTACGATCAAATTTATAAGAAGTTATATAGTTCAATAAAAAAAATGTCAATAAATTCAAAATAAGAAAATAATCTGTCTCAATGGGAAAGAGAAGATCAAATTTATTATTTTCTTTTAAGTAAGGCTTGAATTAATATTCATTCATCGACTTTATGTCTATGTATAAATTATTTCTTAATTTCTCTCTTGTGTCATAATTTATTGTCACCATTAAAATATAAATATTTAAATCCTTAAAGAGAAGTGATATATTACTTGTATTATTAAATACCTTACATAATTTTTTTTAAATAACTTACTTAGTTAAAAAGAATCATATATATATATGTACTAAATTCTTTATGAGCAGTGGTCAATTTAATTTGAAGTTTTTCAATCAATTAATTCAATAAATGGCATAAAATCATAATTTATTAATTTTATTTTTTAAAAATAGACATCCAAAAAAGAAAATTGTAGTCATACGATCGTCTTAGCAAGTATTATAATACATAATAAAAATAAATTTTATTTTTAATTAATATTAATGATCATTTTATTTTCATAGACTTGTGTGTCCATTTTATAATTTTTATACGATTCATCCTATTTTAGTACTTTAATTGTTGTGCTTCTTTTATTTTAATTCTCAAGGTTTTAAATATTCTATTTGAGTATTTAATTTTTTTTTCATAAAAAACTATTTTGCTCTCCACTGTTTTTTAAAATTTATGAATAAAAACCTAGTATAAACTATATGTGGCAACTTAAATGTTGAATTTTGAAATATATTCAAATTTATGTTAAATAAGTAATGAAAGATTTATGATATTGATTTAAAAAAAATAACAATTCAAATGGATTCACTTAAAAAAATGTATTCAAATGGATTATTTTAAAGTTGAATAACTAAATTAAAACATTTAAAAGTTTAGAGTCATAAAATAAGATAAAAAAATGTCATCAAAATATCATAATTAAACTAAATAATAAATATTTAGTAAAACGAAATTTTTTTGACTAATGTCGTGACTAGTTAAGTTAAATTCAAATCTGTCACGGGACTAATCTTAAATATTAAACAAATTAATTTAATATATGTCAAACTACTTAAAATCCTTACTCGGGTGTTTTGTAACGTAATATTTAAATATATATATATATATATATATATATTTGTAATATTTATTAAAGAAACTTCAGTTTAATCTGAACCATTCAATTTTTATTTAATGGTTTGCATTTTTTAAACTACATTTAACTTATATAATTAATATAAATTTGATTATATATTTTTATTTAGAAAAAAAAATTGGGAGGGGAAGAGAATCCAATTCTTTGGTGCACATTATAAAAATTCCATTTTATACTGATTATATTACTTTTACAGACGCCAGAAGGGACCAGAAAAGTGGGGCCGGATTCTTCAGGAATAAACCACGTGGAATTTAATATTAAATACTAATAAGTTAATAACAAATTATTATTATTATTAGGCTTTCGACATTTTCTCGTCTATTTTCCGGGAAAATTTTGTTACTTTCTTTGGGATTCAATGTCATCTTCTCCACGTTCTTCCTCATTCATGTGAATTTATTTATTATTTTTGATGCTCTGTATCTTCATTATTACTTGATGACATTATAGAGATTAAATCATAATAATTATTAAACAAATTTTCGATGCTTATCTTGATGGGATAAAATAAAATACGTAATTTTTGTCCTTTATCTCGTATTTTGTTGTTAGAAAAATTAATGCAACAGAGTGTAATTTAATTTCTTCAAGCTGTGAATAAGTTATATTATGTAATGGTTTATAATTTCTCATTTCTTTCCAATTAGTTTTAGTAGAATTTTCATTTTTTAATTTTAAGAGAATATGGAATAAAGGTAAATTTAAAAAAATGGTCAAATGGGTTAAAAAGAAAAAATAATAATAACGTGGATGTTTGTTTGGCAGTTAATTTGAAAAAAAAAATTAAAAAATATATTTTTAAAATAAAAGTTCAATAAAAATTACATATAAATAAATGTCTGCTTTAAGACTAATGACAATACCGACCCGATCAGATCGACCTAAGTAGGAAAGGACCATCATATTCGATCAGATCGAACGAGTCGGATTCGGTTGAACTGGTCTGCTGAAACTAATATGAGAAGAAACCTATGGTGTGAGTTAGGTTCAACGACCTTACTTTTGCTATTCAACCCGATTATGAACTTCTCCTAAAATTGTTTTAACTAAAAAAATTATTTAGAGAAATATTTCCCAATAATTTTATTCACCTATCTTTACTCACTTTATTTGAACCACGACTTAATTAAACTTGTTATTCATATAAAAAACCAAACACTTAAAAAAGAAAAATAATTTCCAATTGGTGGAGATTCTTCAATTAGTGCAATGTTGTCACTTAATTATGTGTTTAAAAATCCCAAAACTATTTTTGGAGCTTCTATTATTCGAATTTGTACATTTCTGTTCCATTATTTATGTCACGAAATTTGGAGTGAGAGAAAGCAAAGCAAAGGTCCATTTCACATCAATGCAATATCATCATTCATCGTCGTTTGTAAAATCAGTCAAACCAAAAAAAAAAAAAATTTGAGAAATTAATTTTCATGCATAAAAAAATAAATGAGTTGAAATTAGGGGAGAGTGAGGAGCACGCGCTGATGGAAGAGAGTGGACAGAGCTCGTTTCTGGAAAGAAACAAATTATAAAGCGAATTTTGTGCAGAATGAAGGAGGAGAGAGTTGGAGGAAGATAAGAGAAGAAGAGAAGGAAAAGATAAAAAATTAAAAACACAAGAAATTAGAGATTAGAGATTATTATTATTATATTTATTTAAAAAGGAGAGTGAAAAGAAAACTGAAAACTTGTCTCGTGAAGCAGCAGGTGTAGTTTGAAGAGGAAGAGGGAGAGATTTTGTATATAAAACAGCAAAATAAGTGTAGAATTTTCTTCTTTCTTTCTTTGTTTTCTCTCTCGAAAAGCTCTGTAAAATCTCTTCTTCTTTTCTTTTTTTTTCTCCCTCTGTGGGGGAAACAAAATTGAGTCGCGGTTGGGTTGAAGATTTGGGTTTTTTTAGCACTCACATTCATTCTTTGCTTCCTTCTTTAATTTCACGAGATCCCCATCTTCTTCTTCTTCTTCCATTTCTCTCTCTCTTGATGAATTCTTCAAACACTTTTCTTACGGGTCTTCGTTTGTTTCCATCCTCCTCAGAAATTGCCTAAACCCACAACCCCCCTCCGCCATTGGAGATTTTTGCGAGTTTTTTCTGTTGGGTCAACGGGGAACTGAAATTCGTGAAACGGGGTGGGGATAAAATGTCGCATTCTGGTGGAAACCCCATTTCGGACCTTCGTTTCCACGATCTCTCCGATCGATTCCGCGACTCGGTGAGTTGTGAAGCCAACAAACCCGACTTCCGAGAGCTAGATCTGGGTTCTCCGGTTTCGCCATTGCGGGTTCGTCACAGTGGTGGCGGCGCCGGCGGTCCCGCCGTGAGCAGTAGTTCCAGTTCATCCGGATCGGTTTCCGGTCGGAATGGGCCCAACCCAGCGGCGAAGAGATCCGATTCGGGTCCTAATAATCACTCCGGCGAACTCTCTGGGTCTAGCGAGAGCAGCCCAACTGCCGCCGAGAGCCTCCGATCCTCCGGAACCCCTAGAAATTTCAAGTCGGGTCATAATAGATCCGATTCCGCCTCCAATCATCCGCTAATCTACTCGGGTCAAAGCTCCGTTACTTCCCCATCCAACGTTCTCCCCACCGGCAATATCTGCCCCTCCGGAAGGATCTTGAAGACGAGCATGCCCTCGAATCGGAGCTCCAGAACCGACGTTTTGGGTTCCGGGTCGGGGAATTACGGCCACGGAAGCATAATGCGGGGCCTCGCCACCGCCAAAACTTCCATCGCCGTTGAATCAGTCAGTAATGTTAGTGCACGGGCCGGTGGTTTCGGCAGTGGTGGTGGAGAATCATTGAACAGGGCGAAACAGAGTGGGAATCCAGAGGAGTTGAAGAGAGCAGGAAACGAACAGTACAAAAAGGGGCATTTCGCTGAGGCTTTGAGTCTCTATGATCGAGCCATTGCCCTCTCTCCGGCCAATGCCGCTTACCGGAGCAACCGAGCAGCCGCCCTCACCGGCCTGGGGCGGCTCAGGGAGGCCGTAAACGAGTGTGATGAGGCGGTGAGATTGGATCCCAATTATGTGAGGGCCCATCAACGTTTGGCATCTCTGTTTCGTAGGTGGGTTTGGTATTTGCTTGTTCTTTGAGCCTCTGCTTGAAACTTATCAATCTGTGATCTGCATTGAGCTGGCTTTTGGTTTCTTTGTCTATCTGTGATAGCTTTTGTACCAACGTGTTTTTTTTGTGTGGTTTAAAGTGAAGAAGCGCTTTGAATCTTGAATGGTTGACATGATCATATGCTTTAGTTGTTGTTTTGATTTTTTCTGTCTTGTTATTGCTGATGTCTTTGCAGCTGTCTTGATGCTTTTGAATATCTACTGATTGATTGATCGCTGTAACTTTGGCTTATTCGTTTTATCTTGATGCCCTATTGTTGCAGGTTAGGGCAGGTGGAGAATGCCAGGAAACACCTTTGTTTTCCGGGTGTTCAGCCAGATCCATCCGAGCTGCAGAGGTTGCAGGTAATAGAGAGGCATATAAGTCGATGTGGGGATGCCCGTCGAGTCGGAGATTGGATAAGTGCATTAAAGGAGGCAGATGCTGCAATTTCTGGTGGAGCCGATTCTTCACCTCAGGCAAGAAGCTGTTCTACTATTTCAATATTGCAAATTTTAATTTCCGTGTGATGTAAGAATTAAAAGAATTGAATTTTTTTTTTTTATTATGATCAATGTACAGCTGTTTATGAGTAGAGTGGAAGCACTTTTGAAGCTTCATCAGATTGAAGATGCTGAATCCAGTCTATTTAGCATTCCAAAGTTACATCCATCAACCAATGCGTCCTCACAAACGAAGTTTTTCGGAATGCTTTCGGAAGCTTACTCTTACTTCATCCACGCTCAAATTGAGATGGCGTTAGGAAGGTGAGTTCTTCAAATTTTAGCTTTCAAAGTACGATTGGGAAATGGTTTTGAGAGAGTGGGAATTGGATAATGGATATGTTGCAGGTTTGAGAATGCAGTTACATCTGCTGAGAAAGCTGGGCAGATTGATCCCCGAAATGTAGAAGTGGCAATGCTGCTTAATAACGTGCGCTTGGTCGCTAGAACTCGTACCCGTGGCAATGATCTCTTTAAATCAGAAAGGTACACAGAAGCCTGCTCAGCATACGGGGAAGGTCTAAAGCTTGACCCTTCAAACTCGGTTCTCTATTGCAACCGGGCAGCCTGTTGGTTTAAACTTGGAATGTGGGAGCGATCCATCGAAGATTGTAATCAAGCATTACTTATCCAACCAACTTACACGAAAGCCCTTCTTCGAAGGGCTGCCTCAAATAGTAAGGTGAATTGCCTTAACTTATGATGCTGCAACTTTTGTTGTATTCACGATAATTAGGTTTTGTTCTAACTCTGTTTTGGATCGACTGCAGCTCGAAAGATGGGAAGAGGCTGTAAGAGACTATGAAGTTTTAAGGATGGAGCTTCCAGATGACAATGAAGTTGCTGAATCTCTTTTCCATGCTCAAGTTGCATTAAAGAAATCCCGTGGAGAAGAAGTTCATAATTTGAAGTTCGGTGGTGAAGTCGAGGAAGTGTCGAACCTAGACCAGTTTAGAGCTGCCATATCGTTCCCAGGTCTGGTAAAACATTAGATGTTGAGCTTTATCTCATTGACTATTTGGAAACAAGAAGATTGCCTTCTGATATCATTCTTTTCCTATGGAACTTTGAAATACAGGCGTCACCGTGGTTCATTTCAAAACAGCATCTGATGTGCAATGCAAGCAAATATCGCCATTCGTGGACACCCTTTGTCGTCGCTACCCTTCCATCAATTTCCTCAAGGTAGATGACTCCTCTTCATCTCAACAATGTCGGTTTTATTAATCCAAACGGTACAATAATGAATGATGAAACATACAGTTTCTTATCATTTTCTCCTCTATTTGTTGTTGAAGGTGAATCTAGAAGAAAGTCCAGCAATTGCAGACACTGAAAACGTAAGGATTGTACCAACATTCAAGATTTACAAAAGCGGAAATCGAGTGAAAGAGATCATATCTCCAACTCGCGACATGCTGGAGCATTCAGTGAGGTATTATAGCTTATAGAACTGAGGTCTACTACTGCTGCTGCAAGTGCTCATCTCTCTTTTTAGCAAATCTCCTCTTCCTGCCTGAACGCCCCCTGTTTGAAAGAAACAACCGCCAAAAGTCCTTCCTACCTTATAAGGAATTACCCGATAACCGTGACGATTAGAAGGTCAAAATAATCCCCATCAGCCAACCCAAATGCCAGTGGAATTCAGGGAGATAGTTTAGTTCATTTTTGGAGTTGTTATTCTATTCATTCATTCCCCATTGCTCTCTGGTTCCATTCTTTTCCCCTCCCATCTCCTTTTGTCGCATATCATTTTTCCATAAGGTTACCCCTTACCCCTTCAATCCGTCTCGATTTGTTATTGGCCTACTCCACTCCCCCATTCCCCGTCGAATCGAACGCAGTAGAATCCAAGAGGGAGAGAGAAATGGGTGTTGGTAAATGAGGATCTGTACATGTATATATGATATATACACAAAAAGAAAAAACCAAAAAAAGAAAGGAAGAGGAGAGGGGTGGATGAATGAATGAATGCATGAATGGATGGGTGGGATTATATGGTGGGTTTCTGATGGGGTTAGTGAAAAAGAAGGGTGAATACATTGTTTTACCATCATTGTTAGTTCTTCTTCTTCTGTTCTTCAAACATTTTCCCATTTAATAAAAAAAAAGTCTTCATTTTCCTCTGATCCAATCCAAAAATCTCTTGAAACCCAATACTGTTGTTTTTTCCCCTTGAAAGCTGATATATTTCTGGTAGTACTGAATCAGAAGCATGTTGATGGAAAATGGGGTTTTTTTTGAGGTCATTTAATGGGTGGAACAGAAATAATATAATTGGTTTTTTTTTGTTAGAAAATGGGTGTGGCAAAGTTTCTGATTGTTTGAAGGAGGGGTTGGTTTTCTTAATAAGGAGTGGGATGGGTAGTTGGTTTTATTCATTGCTCTTTTAAAGTAGATTGTCCTTCAAAGCAAAGAAGTTAGAAAAGTTGGGCCACTCCCAACCAAAAAAAAAAAAAGAAAAAATTTAATCTATTTATTATTATTTTTGTCTTATTCTCATCACTTTATGTCAACTTCCCAACTATAGCACCATGCCATTATTTGAAGGGTAAAGTTGACTTGGTGTTCCCAATTAAGGAAGAAAATATTGCTGATTAGACTACTATATATAATATCTTGATAACTTCCATGAATATTGTTCATAATTAAAACAAGTAGTTTGCAAAACATGTAGAGTGAATAGAATTAGGATGTGCATGTAAATTTTGTTAACAATATTGGCTAAATTTAGTAGGACAACAAATTGCTCCCACGAGGGGTCGGTGTGGAAGTTAGAACTGTGAGTGCGAGATTGAGGAATTTATACTCGTACCCCTCGATGCCTCGTGGAGATGGCCTTGGGGTATGCATGTCGATTAGTAACATCTCGATTCACAAGACTGTTGGCAAGGGTTTGGAGTTTCTTGATCTCAAGTTTGATGTCTCCCGAGTCTGGACCTTGGAGCAAGTGTAGGTGCCTAGAAACTAAAATTAACATATGGATGATAATAAGACATTAAGGTGATTTATTATTTGTTTTGGGTTATAAGATTATAAGATTAAGATTAGGAAAATGGGGAGAGGGTGTCACATGTGGGCAAGGGAATCACCTATCTTATTAAAATGTGGGAAAAAGTTGAGTTGGTCGGTTGCCTCTCAATGGCTCATTACCTTGCCGGCTGTGAATTGCTTGATTTGATTGATACATAAAATATCAATATTTTGTTAAATAATCAATTCATGGAAAAAATAAATAAAATCAATGACAATAACTAATTTTTTTTTTTTTTACTCAAAGTCCCAAGAAGAATACATTTGAAGTTTGGGTATAAAAATGGAATAAGCAAAAATTATTATGTGAAAAAAGTAGAAATATATGGTTTTTTTTACAGGGGATCGAGCTCACAACCTATTTGTTTGAGATATATGTCAATTACTGCTAAGTTATACTTAGTTTTTAATGTTCGGGAGTTTTTTCAATTTAGTCTATATTATTTAAAAAGTTTCAATTAAATCCCTCAGGTTTTAATGTTTTTCAATTGTGACAATTTAGTCCCTCACAATTGATGAATGTTAAAATTTGATTGGTGATAAACTTACCAGGCATAAAATGCAGTAATTTGGCAGAAATATAGAGGAGAAAAATGTCATCCAGGAAAGAAAACTTGAAACTTCTACTAATTTCCTAAAAATGTAGAGGAATTAAAAACCTTCATCTCTTATATGACTTTTTTCCACTTCTAAAATTTTGTTAATCTCCCAAATATTACGTCATATAAGTTTATTACAAGTCAATTTTAATATTTATCAATAATTAGGTACTAAATTAAAAAATATTAAAACATGACAACATGAACATAACTCAGTGTAATTAGTAGATACTTCCATGAGGTTAGAGGTTCCAACCCCGATAACCAATTTGTGATGTATTAAAAAAGGAAAAAAAACATAAAAACTAAATTAAAATATTTTAAACCATAGAGATTAAATTAAAAAAATCCAATAAAATATTATAAACTAAAAGATATATTTAACCTATGAAATATAATGGATGCGGTCGGCGTTGGAGGCAAGGCGGGAAAAGTTACAGTAGTGCAGAGGTACCGCACTCAATTTGTTCACACTATAATTTTATCTTTATAATTGATACGAACTAAATGGTATATTCCTGTACTACTAAAAATTTTATTGGGGCAAGAAGGCAGGGGCATTTTGAAAGGTGACGGTGACAGTGACGACGGAAGCAGAGGCGGCAGCCCATACGCGCGAGAGTAAGCGCGTGGAGGAGTTGAAATGAGGGTTAAAGTCTTCACTCTTCAACTCTCGGTCGGTCAGTCAGTGGCGACAAAAAACGGTCAAGAAACAGTGACGTGATATCCACGCTCCATGGGGTCGCGTCGCACGTACCCCACGCCCTTTCTTCTTTCTCTAATCCCCCTTCCTAATTTCTTTTTGCTAAAAAAATAATCTTTATATTATATTAGTCAAATTACCATTTTAATCTCCATAATTTATATTTTGTTTCATTCAATTTAGTACTTTAGTTTTAAAAGTTTTAATATGATTACTCACTTAAATCTTTTAAACTAACTTCGACATAATTCAACCCGTCGGTCTATGCATTAGTGTAACTTCTCTGATGAGAAATCTAAGGAAAAAAAATAAAAAAAACCAACCATGTAAAAGAAAGATTAATATCTGTTAGATCCATTTAAAGTCATGAATAAATTAGCTCAACGGTTAATGTATATACACCTCTGATCTTAAGGTTGGAGGTTCAAATTTTTACTCCACATTTGTTATATTGACGAAATTAGATTCAGATATTCTATTTTAGTTATTGAATGTTATATTAAAAAATTATATATATATTTTTGTCACCTGTTGAAAAATTCTATTTTAGTTTTCTTTGTCACAAATTTTCCAAACCAAAAAATGTTTACTTAAGTGGAATATTCATGAACTTTTAAGAAAAAAGTTAATTTTCTATTGGGCTAAAATTTCCTAAAAAATGGGCCTGAAAATGTTTGGGGCTTGTCAATAGGGATGCATGAGCAGTGGATTAGACCCCATAATCATCCCTCCATTTCAGCCCACTTTGCCTCCAAATTAATTACATATCTAGCCTCAATTTAAAAAATATTTATAAAAAAAGAAAATTCAAAATTCAAAATAATTACAAATTTAGTATGGCATTCTTTTATGGTTGGATTTAGTTTCATAACAAAGTGAAAAGAAAACATCATTAATTAAAATAAATGTGCTGCTAAATGGGGCTTGGATTTGCATATTTTCATCGTAATAAATTCGTAAATGTTTGATCTTCTAATTGGAAAGAGTCGAGAATAAATAATCCATGTCTCAAGACAAGATAAAAAGGAGGAAACTTTATTCAATCATTACTCTATCTTAATATTCCTAAACTTCACACTCACACTCACGGCCTTTTAGTTAGAGATAGCTATGTTCAGGTTAGCAACAAGTACACATAATAAGAAAATTTATGCATTAATTTAATTTACTCTCCACTTTTAAAAGATTTTCAAAACTTTTGAGGTATAAGCTCGTCCTATCAACACTCTTATTTTCAAACCCACAATGATAATGCTATATTTTTCTTTGTCACTCAAGAATAAAGAATAATACACATGGGATTGATATAAAAGTGTGGAATTCTTTTGGGAGGATTGACAAAATGTGATGTGTAAATGTATGAAATTGATGTGTAGAATGGAATTGTTGTCTTGAAAAACTTGGACAAACTTTGACTCCTCAAGATTCTAATTCCATCCATTCAAACCACTCTATAATATATAGTTCAATGCTAAGTTATTATTTTTTTTAACGGTTTAAATCTCATTTTAGTACTTATTTTGCTTTATTTTTATACTTTATAATGTTATATGAAAATTAGTTCTAAGTATTATCATTCAATTTTTTGCATTATTCTCGTCTAATGTAGCAAAATTTGGTTAACTGGTTTTCGAATTTGATATGTGTCACTTGATAGAAAACACGAGGACATGCTATTTTGCTTTAATACACTATATTAATTATTTAAGGGTAAGATCCTTGAACTTTTAATAATTATTTAGATTCTATTAACCATGATTTTTTTCCTTAAAAATTCCACAACCAAAAATGACATTTAGAAAGTTTAAGGATTAAAATAATTAAATTTTAAAGAGTTTAGTGGACAAAGCAAACATTTTGAAAAAAAAAAAAAACATCAGCTTTAGGACTATTTGATAACAATAATAACAGCTCAACGAAAAAAAAAAAGATAAAATAATGCATTTATCTATATTTTGGAAAAAAAGAACTGAAAACAATAACAAGAACCAAGAAATTTGTTGATTCTAAAAATTTCTATACAATTTTGACATTTTTTCAAAATGAAAAATGTAAGCTGAAATAGTTAATTACCTAATGCTTATATCGTTTCTTATAGATTAGAAATGAGAAATAAGAAATAAGAAACTAAAAACGTTATTAAACGAGTCCTTAAAGACCCTAATATGAACTTTAAACCTAAATACGCAGAATTTAAGAATGGTTAATATAATATTAAAAAATGTAAGAACTTAAAATTGAATTTGTGTAAAAGTCGAAAAAGATATGGAAACAAAATTTCTAGGGCTTCTTCTACAGTTAATTAAGAGAAGAGATGTCACATGGAACAAATTCAACCAATCCACTCAAATTTGAATGAAAACATATGGGCCAATACTTCATAAGATTTTCCTTTAAAATTAGCCATGCAGAAAAAGGAAGCCTTTTAGAACCCTAGAAAACCAGAAGATTTATATATATATATATTATATATCAAATATAATTAATATTTTGATCCCTATTCCGTTCGGCTCGACCAATAAAAATGAGTTGATATAAAAAACTTATAAAATATTTAAGCTCTCTGACTATTTGTTGGGTTCAAAATGAAAATCATACGGACTGCGCTATTTCGAAATTTAAATTTACTATAGAAATTTTAGAAAACGAAATGGAGATAAAAAGAGGATCCAAAATCATCATGAAAACTTGTGTTTAAGGATAACAACAGAAGGAATCACTAAAAATGAACAGTATTTAGATATCATTAATTAACTATTCCAAAAGCATTATTAGCAGTGCTAATTAAGATTATGGAAGATATTGCCGATAGTGCCATTTAGACAATTACCAATAACAATTTGCCACGTGGCAGCATCAAGATGCTTAGTCGGCCATTAATTATAATTTATCAACTAATTAAGTTGAAAACTTAGGGCTGTCATTTGGTCTATTGTTCTATCATTGCAGTCTAAACAAAATTAAAAGGGGGCTTAGTGTTCAACCACCCCATTGATTAAAAAATTGTATTAATATTTAAAGATGTGTATTAAATTATTCTATAAAACAAAAAAAGTTTTTATTATTAAATTGTATAAGAATTAATAACTAATTATTCACATTATTTTGTAGTCATGATCTTCTCACGTGCGGGTTCATATTTTGATAAAAAAAAAAAGAATTGAAATTCGGCTCAATAGTATCATGGTTAAATTGCTATAAACCTAAAGAATTATATAAACTTTTAAATTAAAGTTAATGACATCAAAATTTCACATATAGTTTAAAGAAACTAACATTATCATGTGACCTATAAATTCTTGTGATTGAAGTTTTACAAGACAAAGATGATTTCCTAGGTACTCGAAGATCATTCTTTTTCATATTTAAAAGTCATTATCTAAAATGAGTGTAAAACAATCCTCCTTAAAACTACATAAAATAACTTTATTCGTTTTCCGTTTGTTCTAAAGCTTTTGCAACGTGTCGAGTTTACATTAATGATAAGAACAGGGGTAAAATTTAGCACCGTTGATATATTAGACCGAAACTCAATATTTACCTGATTACAATATAATTACACTAAAATACACGATAATGATTGGGTTGACAATAGAAAAACTCAATCATAATAACATGGTTAATGGTAATATAGTAGAATTAAAGATAGAAAGTTGTGTGTGGGAGAGAGGAAGAAAAAGAGGAAATAAAGCATTTAGGGTTGGACCATATCATGTCTCCTCACCATCCCCACGATACGATCTTCTTCATTTTCTTGTGCTTCCCCCCACTACTTCAAATTCTCCAGTCTTCTTTTTCTTCCTCCTCCCTAATTTGTGAAGAAATCTTAGGAGCTTATTTAGCATGTCAAGTAGTAAAGGGAAGGATGTAGGAGAAGGAGAAGGAGAAGGATCGTCGGGTGATCATCATCAGGCGACGGCGGTGCCAGTGATGACGGTGAGTCGATACGAATCACAGAAGCGACGAGATTGGTACACTTTCGGGCAGTACTTGAGAAACCAGAGACCTCCGCTGGCAATGTCACAGTGCAATTCCAGCCATGTGTTGGATTTCCTCCGCTACCTTGACCAATTTGGGAAGACGAAAGTGCACTTAAATGGGTGTGGATTCTTCGGGCAGCCCGAGCCAGCAGGGCCCTGTACTTGCCCCCTCCGCCAGGCTTGGGGTAGCCTCGACGCCCTCATCGGCCGCCTTCGGGCAGCTTACGAAGAGAACAATGGAGGGTCTTTAGAGACAAACCCATTTGCGAGTGGTGCTATCAGAATCTATTTGCGAGAAGTGAGAGACTCCCAATCCAAGGCGAGAGGAATTCCTTATAAGAAGAGGAACAAAAAGAAGAACACATCAAAGATGGAGCAAGGTAATTCAATTTACTTTCATTTAATCTTTCAATTTAGCTGAAAAAAATATAATATGATGTTTTGCTGTGTGTGTGCATATATAAAACCCTAGTCCTAAGTTTCATAATACATATTGTAGCTAGCTAGGGTTATGGTTATATTAATTAGTTTAGGATATAGTTTTAATTAGAGCTTTGTAGCCATGATTACTCCTTAAACTTTATGTTTTCTTAGACACACCTTTTTCTTTTTCAAGAGATATCAAACTATTTGTAATATTCCATACAAATCAATGTATGTGTCTCTGCTTGAGTGTATATGTATATATAACTATAATATGTAAAAGTGCTCATTATAATTTATCTTAAATTGAGGCATACTTTGTTTGATAATTATAGACTCGTTTGATAACGTTCTCGTTTATTGTTTTTGTTTCTTCTTTTTTAATAAAGAAAAGTATAGTTGCATTGCCCCTAAAACCCATGGATGCAAAATATGATCAAACAAGATTTTTATTTTTATGGTGAAACAAATTGGTCGTTGAAAACAAAAAACTTGTTTTTGTTGTTTCCAAAATTTCTATACAATTTTGAAAATGTTTCTAAAAAAATGAGAAACAAGCAAAATAGTTGTCAAATGCTTAGATATCTTAATAAACTTGGAAACGAGAAATAATAAACGGAAATGTCACCAAACAAGCTCTATTTAATTTGTTTTTAGTTTTCCATTTATAAAAATTAAGCTTAGAAACAATTACTTTCGGTACATATATATGTACTTTCTAATTTTGTTTTGTTATATAGTTTTTGTAAATATTTTCATTCAAAATCTATGTGAAATATTTCTCAAAAACTTATTTTTGTTTTTGAAATTTAGCTAAGAATTAAAGTATGTTTCTAGAGAGATGAAAGACTTAACCAACGCATGAAATGATTAAAAAAAAAGCATATCATTTTTAAAAATAGAAAATTAAAAACCAAATGATTTTGTGATTATCTCTCATTCTAGTTATGTTCGTTCTTTGGGGTCAAATTACATTTGGTTTCTATACTTTAACGTTTACATTAATTTCATTCTTATACTTCAAAGATTTTCAATTTTATCCTTGTACTTTTAATATATTACTCCAATGGTCCTGTGATGAATATATTTGATAAGAATGTCATTAACTAACTATAAGGGATTCATTGAGGTTAAAATCCAACCATTTTATTTAATTTCTTTTTGGAAATTATACATGAACATGAAATTTGGTTGCTTATTACAAAGTATTGAATTTTCAGGTCCCTAAATTATAAATTCCCAAGGCTTTGGATTAGCCAGCTGCAGTGGCATGTGTTTTGGAGATCTCAGTTGCATCAATGGATCATATTATTGCAAGTTCTTTTTGAATTAATGTTTAATTAATTACTTGTTTTTATTTGGTCCTTCAAATTGGAGTTTGAGCACTGCTAGTTTTGATTTCTTGATGAGATCATGTGGGTATGTTGCAAAAATGTTCTCTTTTCTTATTGTTTTTTTGCTGTCAAATTTATTATATTATTCAGCATGGATTATCGGAAGTTAATGTCGTTTGCTTTCAAATAGTATCTTTTCTTTCTCTAGATCAATTCGAGCCTAGTTGAATAGATTAGATATTTATTATTATTATTTTTTTGCAAATGAATGTGATCTTTCACACTAGTAAGATATTGTTATTTTTCTTAGATCGAAGAAAGGAATCATTTTATTTAAACTCTACTAGAGAAAAAAAAATGTTTGGTTCATGTCTTTTTTCTTTCCAATAAGTATTGGCTTATGAAGCTTAGGGTTTGGAAAGTCCAAGTTTGTGTAATGTGTTGGATTATTGTATAAACCAAGAGTTATAAAATCCTATGGTTGATTATAGGTTATTTATGATTTATAAAAGTATTAATATATGTTAGGAAAAAAAATACTCCTTGGTTTTTGAGAGTTTTGAGGTCAGCTTTCATTTACGATATGAGCACATCTCAATTGGTTAAGACACATATTTAAGTTCGAATCTACACCTTCACATGTTATTAAAAAAAAAATTTCCATTTGATCTTTAGATTCTTGAAATGACTTATATATTTTGAATATTGTTTATTTATTTATTTTCAAAGATGTAAGATAAATTGTTGCATCGTGAACAAGTTTGATAATTATATTTTAATTTAATTTATTTTAAATACTTTTTTACTTCTCTCTAATTTTTTGTTTAGAAAAGAGGAAAAATAAAACTTTGGTGTTTGCCACTAGAAATGCAATTAATGGACTAAACTGTGATGTCCAGCATTAATTATATTTATCATACAAAGAGGATGGAATTTTGATATGACTTTCCATCATAACATTTATCTTAGGATTCCTTTTTTAGGACTTTTAATGTTTCTAATATCAAAGCTTATCCTATCTTTACCCAAAACAAATTATCACACCTCGATTTGCTAATTATAAAAATGTAAAATTAAAAATATTTGACTTAGCTTTTATATACATATTCCACGTTTAAATTAGAATTATTCAATATAATTGATATGATAAATAATTTCATGACACACACTTCAATTAATCTATAGTATAGTAATAGTTTTGATTAGTAAATTAAATTGATTTAAGGTGGTAAATTAGAAACGTTAGTCAAATTAGTTTTTGAACAACTTTAAGCTATATTCTATCTACTTAATACTTGTACTTCAACAAATTTGTAATATGGGTACTTAAATTTTTAAACTTGTTGTATTTAAYTATCTAAATCATGTCTAAAAAATTTTGATAAATCATTCAACTTTTAATTTTGTGCCTATTATATTTTTATCGATTAATTAACCTTTTTAACATTTATGATAAGTTGATAGTATAATTTAAAAAATTTATATGATGACTGATTTCGGACAAGTAATTTACGTATTGTTCAATGGTATAAATATTAAATTAACGGTTAACAACGTTCACCTATTAACGTTTATTAGCAATATTTTAAAATAGAAAGACTAAATAGATGCATAACTTCAAACTTCATCAACTAGACTCGACAATTTACAAGTTTTTAAATCAAAAGAACCTAAAGAGAAATTGAGTATTGCATTTGAATATGACAAATGATTCCGAATCCTATAAATCCTTTATTTCTTGAGCAATATTTTTCATTGTTCTGCATGGAGTACTTGATATAACTTGCACGGAATATAAACTCGTCTTTGATCAGAATTTCCAATAGTGTAATCTTCAATCATTTAGAGCCCACTTTCTCATAGTGGTTTATTCCTTTTTTTTAATAAAGAAAAATAGAATTGTATCTCTGTCACTCATTCAACAATGATAAAACAAAATCTTTATCAATGTTTGAATAAATTAGAAATGAAAAAAAAAATTCTTTTTGTTTTTGTTTTTTCCAAAGAATGAAAACAAGAAATATAAATAGTTTATATCAAAGATGTAGATTTCTTAATAAAACTGGAAACGAGAACATTACCAAACAGGTCCTAAACTCCTCTTTTTAGCATTGGACCAAACAAGAATGATACCAAACGACATCAAACTACCAAGTTAGATAAAGTCGAGAATAAATAGAGCAGTGAGAAGAAGAGGAAAAATGTGTCTGTTGAACAAATTTAGTTAGCATATAAACTTTTTAGTTATTATTTTCATTTCCTCGTATGAAGAATTTTGTAGGTTCATGAAAAAAAATAATACATGTGTAGCTACTATTGATAGATAGTACTAAATAATCTTCCCCACTTGACTTGTTGCAGTTGATTTGAGGTTTTGCATTTATTTATAATTTATATTATCCATGGAAGAAAAAAGAGATTTTTTGGGTCAGATTCCGTGTTGAATAATTCAGTGCTCATGTTTGACTTTGGAGACCAAATATGGATCATACACAGCAAACCTTCCCTGGTTTTGGACCTATAAAAATATTAGCTATAGGAGTTGTCAAAATCACATCTTTAATACTCTTCAGCTGTAAAAGTTGTGATAATTATAACCTAAATATAGCAATACATACATGATTTTTTAGCCGGAGATATATACTTTTAACTAATTTAACTATATTCAAGTTGACATAATGATAAAATTTGTAATCGCTCTGATAAAGTAGTTGTTCAAACCGCACGTTCCACTTTTAATGATGGTTATTGTCCATCAGTGAAAGGAAATGATGATGGTCAGGTGATTGTCATCGTTTCGAGTGTAGAGACGTTTCTGTAAATTTTTTTACATATATGGATCGAGTGAGAGACTTTCAACATTATTTTACGACATTGACGTTTAAATTCTTGAATGATACACACCCAATGGTTAGAAACATAGGATCTATTTCATGTAATTGTTATAATAAGAAAAAAAAAAGTTTGAAATACAATAATACCCCCCAAGTAATATTTAGAGAGTGAATCCAATATCGGTCCTCATTCAATATCCAACCTCAAATTAAACGTCAACTTATGCTACTTTAATAAACATATCCACGACGTCAAACTCTAACAATGATCCAAAAGCAACATTTGAATATGATCACAAACGATCCCCAATCCAAATCATACCCAAAACCAAGAAAAACATTTTTTCTGATCTTCTCCCTAAATGGAGTACTTAATATAACCCACAGAAGATGAATTAGAATCCTTAATCAAAGTCCCCAACAATGGAATCCTCAAGCACTTGGAGCTATATTCCTTGTAAATAAACCCCAAACACTTGCAATCTCTGTCACATTTTGCTCTGCAATTCTCCACCTTGATCGGCCCTTCACCGTCCTCCTCATACGGGTTCAGAAAATGCTCCACCCCCACGATCTTGTAATACTCAAATTTCCCTTTTGCGCCGCCGCACGCCGGCACCGGCGGCGGCGCGCAGCTCTCGCTCCACCCCAGAAGCCCCTTCGGGCT